TTGTTTCCCCTGATATACACTAAAATAATAAATGTTCAAATCCCTCATCTTCAAGAGTAAAAGTACTGTGTAAGAATGCGCCTTATCTTCTTCCCTCCAACTTCATTGCAGTCAGTTCAGTAATTGTTAGGGTTTACAGCTGGCTGGAAACTTCTATCGTAATCGATGACTGAAGCAACCATTTCTTCTCCAATCCTCTCATTATTTACCTCACAGAAATTATGAAGAACAAAACAGGCATAGATGATATTTGGCAGCTCAGTTATGTTGATGTCCATGGCTCGTCTAAGTGCACCAAAATCGTGCTTTTAATCGGCCAAATGAACATATAATCTCCATACCTGACTGGCATAGTGTCATGCCGAAGTACTGCTCTTGAATTGTGGACCCACCATTTGAGTATTCCTTCATAATATATGGCATCAGGGAGTATGCAGGGTCTCCAAGCAGCAAAACTGGAATCGGTTCTTCATCAGGAGGCACCTGTCGTCTACCTGGTGGGATGGTCTCACTTTTAAGAAAGAAACTGAGCTTTGAATTGGAAAAGACTCTGGCATCATGGACACTTCCTGGCCACTTCACTACAACATCCATAAGACAATAGTTATAATCACATGCAGTTTGAACATTTAACGTGCAATGGCTTTTTCTGTTGATATAATCTGTCGAGTTGGTTTTGGGCTGTTTAATTTGTATATGAGTCCCGTCTATGGCGCTTAAACACTGGAAAAAACCATGTGCTCTATGGAACTTCTTCACCAGGTTTGTCACTTCTTCTTCTGTGAAAGGAAATTTTATATACTTCTTTCCAAGATGGACAGTGATGGCCTTATATACTTTACCTACAATCTTAGATACAACTTGTCTTGAAATACCAAAAGCATTGTTTGTCATTCGTAACCTTCCCTCATCACTCAAGTAATACAGCGTGACTGCAACTTGTTTTATGACATCCACTGGAGTCCTCATTATTGTTTGTTTTCCTTCGATATATGGCCTCAGTTCGTCGGCTAATTTGTAGAGAGAACCACGGCTGATTCGAAA